CTGGGGCAGGGGTGTGGGGGGAGGGGGGGGGCAGGGGCTGGTGGATTAGAGCAGGAGGGCTGGGAGCCAGGACTCCTGGGTTCTGTTCCCAGAGTAGATGTCTGCTGGGGGTGTGTTATCTAATTGCTGTCGTTCTGGTTTCCATTGTTACCCCCCATGTGTCCTGCCGCCCACCATGGGAGTTACAACCCTCAAAAAGCCACCTTTGCCCCCCCTCAATGTCCTGGTCATCTGTGGGCATTCTCCATCCCTCACCCGATGTATGTACCTCTCCACCTATGAGATGGGAGCATGGGCCCTGCCCCCCCCCCGAGGGGGCGCCAGCTCCTCTCCAGCCCCAGGACAGGGACTGGCTGGCCCGGGCCAGGCCATGTGACACTGAATGGGGAGAGGTGTATTCTTAGGTGTTGTGGCTGCGTCTGAGAAGAGGGAAGGGGGGACACCATGGGAGAGTTATGAGGAGGGCTTCTTTCCTCTCAGGGTCTGTCACTTGCTCTCCAGCCAGCTGGGCCTGGTGCCAGGCTGTCCAGCTGGGCTGTGCCCTCACTCCAGGGAAGGGGGGCGGTGCCTGGCCAATGGGAGTGAATGAGTGGGGCTGGGCAGCGCTGGCTGGCAGCAAACAGCTGGGCTGTTGTACCAGAGCAGCGGCATCCGTCTCCCTTGCCCCATGTTCCCAGGGGCTGTGTGGCCAGGACCCTGGAACTGAGGTGAAGGAAGCAGGGCTCTGTGGGTCCCAGCAGAGCAGGGAATCGGGGGTCTGAACTTGGCTGATCCCAAAGGAGCAGGCCCCATGGCCCGGGAGCCGCAGGGCATCTCGGTCAAGTCAAGGGTGAGCTCCTTCGAGGCATGGGGTGAGCCTCGCGGCTGTGGCTGCTGCTCCCTCCCGGATACTGGGGACCCTGCCCACTCCCAGCCCCGTGGCTGCTCCTCCTCCTGCCCGGGCCAAGCCAGGGCCCCAGAGTTGGGGGCGGCCGGGCGCCGCACACCGAGACATGGACAAAACCCTGCTCTCTCTGCTGCTTATCTTCCACAGGTACCAAGGGGCAGGCTGGGGGCTGCACCTCAGGGGGCAGGGTCATACAGGGCTGCCTGCATCTTGTGGGGAGGGGTGTCAGGGTGTATTTTGGGGGAAGGCTGGGGATTGGTTGAATTTGTGGTGATTTGGAAGGTTCTGGGAATTGGGGTGAGTTTATGGTGTTGCAAGACACATCAGGATGAACCTAGGGGTGCCAGCTCTGCACTGAGTTAATATTTGTAATGTTCAGGGTGGGGTGCCAGAGGGGTATGAGCACAGATTAAGGGGTGACTGGAGGGCTTTAGGGCTGAATAGGGGCAAATTTGTGGTGTCTAATAACAGGACCTTGTCCCCCATTGGTACCTGGTTAGGGCACGAAAGCTAAATTTGGGAGCTGGTTCCCAGTGGAGGATTGAGACAGGGCCATGGTATAAAGTGCAGGACAGTTTGGGATGTTAGGGTTCCATTTCGGGTTGAAGGTCAGGAGTGAGGGGCACTGGCAGGGCTAGGAGACCCAGGGCTAGGGGGGCAGGGGCTGTGGGTCAGGAGTGAGGGGCACTGGCAGGGCTGAGGGGAGCCCAGGGCTGGGCTAACAGGGGCTGTGGGTTGGAAGTGAGGGGCACTGGCCCTGTTCTGTGTCTCAGTCCATGTCTCTCTGCCCCCCAGTGGCTCGGGCAGCAGCATGATCGCCATCGATAACAAGATCGAGCAAGCCATGGTGAGTAATAGGAAACAACCCCCCCCAAGAGAGGACTCCTGGGTTCTCTCCCCAGCTCTGCCAGTGGAGAGGGGTGGGGGCTGGTGGGTCAGAGCAGGGGGACTGGGAGCCAGGACTCCTGGGTCCTGTCTAAGGATGTTAACTGGTTACTCAGTAAGCCTCACCCTGGATGCTTACTGGGTAATGGTTAACCGTTACCTAGGAGCAGCCTCCTGCCTCGTGAAGGGCCAGAGGTAGAAGCAGGCGGGGGCGCCTGCCACTTCCGGTCCCATGCAAAGATGCCAACTCCCAGCCTGCGAGCGAGAGCCAGCAGCCCAGTGCGGGTTCAGAAGCAGCTGGGCTGGAGCAGCCCCTGCCTACGAAACAGCACCTGTTCCAGCGCAACCCCATTTAATGAGTGAACTGGTTAAACATTAAGTTTAACTGGTTAACTAATTAAACAGGATTGTACATCCCTAGTCCTATCCTGTCTGGGTGGGGCATGACTCTGGGGTTGGGGTGGGATGCCTGCGTCTCTCCTTGCTGAGCCCTGTCACTGCTTCAGGACCTGGTGAAGACCCACCTGATGTTTGCAGTGCGGGAGGAGGTGGAGGTGCTGCGGGAGCAGATCAAGGACCTGGCCGAGCGCAACGCAGCCCTGGAATGGGAGAACAGGCTGCTCCGCTCCCTGGCCAGCCCTGAGCAGCTGGCCCTGCTCCACGCCCAGCTTCGTGGCCCCACCGCCTGACCCGACCCGGGGCACTGATGATGCGCTACAGTCCCGCACATGTGAAGGAAGCTTGCAGGGCCTAGCCAGACATGGAGGGGCCACTAACAACACGTGCCTTGGGGAGGGGATGGAGCCAGGACTCCTGAGTTCAAGTTCTCAGCTCTGGGAGGAGAGTGGGGGATGGTGGGTACAGCAGATAGTGGGGCTGGGAGCCCAGACTCTGGGGTTCTCTCCATAGCTATGGGAGGGGAGTGGGGATGGTGGTTAGAGCAAGGGGAGCTGAGAGTGGGAGGACTCCTGGCTCTGGGCAAGAGGCCGTTTACTCAGAGTGGGGGCTATAATTTAGTGTGGGTGGGACTGGGGAGGACCTGTCTCAAGCAGAGGGTGTGGAGTGACCAGGGCAGGGGTGACACCCCCCCAGGACTGTCTGGGGGGTGGCCATGTGAGCAAAGAAGATGGGGCCCGGAGTGGAGCAGGGAGCCCCCTGAGGCAGTGGAAGGGAAGGGACGGGATGGTGGTGGCAATAAGATTTGTAATAAAGAACCTTTCACAGTGTTTCAGGTTATTAAAATATCAACGTCAGGAATGAAGCCTGCAAGTGTGAGTGGGTGTGAGGGGTTGCCGTACAGGGAGGGTGGGGCCTACCAGGGGGTGCTTGGGCATTAGAGGCGCCATCTGACATTCCAGCCAGGATGCCTCTTAGTCAGGAAATGCCCCCGCTCTACCCTTGGGGCCCAGAACCCCAAAATCCTGTCTTGGCTGGCTCTGTCCTGCCCCCCTGTGTCCTCAACGGTATCAGCTGGGCACAGGGACAAATTGTCACAGAGGGAGAATCCAACAGGCCCTGGATGTATTCCCACTTGCTGTCTTAAACTGCTCTGCAGGTAACCCGCTGCCCTGCCCCAGAGGTGGCTGCATCTCAGTATTGGGCGAGGGGTCCCTGAGTAGCTAGCTGCCCTGCCCCAGAGGTGGCTGCATCTCAGCACCGGGCGAGGGGTCCCTGTATAACCAGCTGCGGCGGCACAGTTTGTTTGTTTGAAGGCGGGGGAACAAAGACATTTGTTCTGTTCCCTTCCCCCCCCCCCGCCCCGCTTCTCTCCCTTCCCCCACAGCCACACTGTTCCAGCTCAGGCTGGACAATGCATGCTTACCAGCAGCTGTCCTGGGGTGGAGTGGAGGAGGCAGCAAAGAAAGAGCAGCTTGTTATTGGTGCTGGGGAGAGGCCAAGCCTCAGCTGGGTGCCCACAGGCTGGTGGGGAGAGGGACTGGATTCCCCCCAGGCCTGGTTTCTGCAGTCACTGAGCATCTTTGGAACAACAGTGGGGGGTGGGAGGGGAAATTGGAGAGAAAGTCCAAGAGGTTCCTCTCCCTTGACTGCTCAGCTCTTGCTCTGGATCCTCCCCCCTGCACAGGGAAACATGGCCCCCACATACCCACCCTCAGGGATTGGCCAACAGGGGCTGCAGGTCGGGGGGGGCGGGGGGGGGCAGCAACGGGGCGGGGGGGGGGGAGCCCAGGGCTGGGCTGGCAGGGGCTGCGGATTGGGAGTGAGGGGCACAGAAGACAGTCCATGGCAGAAGAAAATTTAACACAGAAATGCCCTCTCGTGGTGCCTCTGAGGCAAAGTACCAGCCAGGCTCAGCCTCATCCCTGAGGAACTGATCCACCCCTCCCGAAGCGGAGGAGCGAACCCAGGAATCCTGGCTATCAGCCCTAAGGGCTGGGGTGTGTTAGGGTGTTTGGTTTTCATGTTCCTCACCCTGGCTGGCACATTCTGCAGTCACTGAGTCAATAGAAGGGGGCGACAGACAGATAGAGACTGAGACCAGAGTGACAAAACCCAGTGTCCCTCGCTTCCAAGCTGCAGCCTCTGCTAGCTCAGCCCTGTTTGCCCCTCACTCCTGACCTGCAACCCCCTTGGATGGCTGTGTTCTCTCCCCTGCCCCCGCTCCACCGCCTCACAATGGGAAGCTGGAACCTCTGGGCCCTGGGCCATGAACCCAACCCAGCCCAGCCATGTGGGTGCAAGGGGTACTCGTGGTCCTGCTGTCGAGAGTCTCCGAGCCCAGCTGTGCACAGCCTCTGCGCTGCCGGGTTGGGGAGAGGCTGCTGGTGCCCCACCCAGGGGGTGCACTGGCTCAGCCAACCCGAGGCTGTTGTCCCTGTGTCCCACTGCACTGGGTGCGGCTGGCAGCTGTGGCAGCAGGCCTGACCCTTGGCCTGCTCTGGATTCGGTGCCGGCGGGTGAGACCCTGCCTCCCAACTGGGATCTTTCCCAGAATGCTCTGGGGTGGGCCAAGGGGAACCCCCCACGAGCCCTGAACTTGCCCCTTTCCCAGAATATGCGGGGGTGGCAGAACTATGTCCCCGTCCCCGTCCCCCCCAGCTCACCCTGTCTCTTTCTCCCTGCCCAGGCCCTTGCCCCAGCAGCCGCCCCCCAGGACCCAGGACGCCCCGAGGCTGCCCTGCTACGTGACATCTCCAGGCTCTTGTGCATTATCCATGCCCAGTTACAGCAGCTTGCAAGGACAGAGAGGGGACATGTGCCCCAGCTCCCCATCCACCCAGTGCTCCATGCTGACCACTAGCAGGGGACTAGGGTCGGGCTCTGAGCATGGCAATCAACATCCACATGTGCCCTTCCCCCTCTGCCAGGGGGCTGTGGTAAGAAAGGGCAGGAGCCTTAGCTTGTGGCATTGTGGGAGATTGCGGGGATCTGTCTCCCATCTTACAGCATGTCTGTGCACAGGACATGAGAATAAACATGTCTAGAACCTCTGCAGGCGGTGTCAGTGACAATGGTTTCGTGGGGGCTCCCTTCCCCCCCCCCCATAGTGTTCCTCCCATTGACTTCCCCTGCCCCCAGCCAGTTCCCTTCTGGTGATTCCCTTCCCCCTGTGCTCCCCTCTCCCAAACAGGGCTCCCAATTGCTCCCCTACCACCCAGTGCCTACCCTTCCCTGTGCAATACCCCACACCCCTCCCTGCCCTAGCTGTGCCCCCCACCTCTGGCCCAGACATGAGCCTCTGAGTGCTGAAGAGGACAGGAGATCATGGGCCTTTTGGGCAGGAGGAGAACCAGCTCTCCCACAATGTCCCAGGTGGGGAACTACCTCTCCCAGTGCCCCATGGGGGGGATAGAACTACCCCTCCCAAAGTGCCTCACGGGGGGGATAGAACTACCTTTCCCACAATGCCCCATGGTGGGGTGGGGGAACTACCTCTCTCACAATGACCTGTGTGGGGAAGGGAACTTTGTCTTCCCAAGCAGACGTGCCCCCCCTAGCCGCTCCCTGTCCTGGCTCAGGGCATTGGCCACAATGAAGTGAATAAATCCCTCCTTCTTCACAACACTCTCCAGAAGTGGTTGCATGGAATGGGGATCATCCTCGTGGCCATAGCACCAGAGCCATGGGAGGCAGGTTAGTATAATTTTTGGTGGGCCCCCATTAGCCACGCCCATCACCCCTGTCTGGCGCGCAGTGTGCATGGGGCCAGCCTGCCGCGGTAGGGGCTGCAGACGCACCATTACAATTCCTCTTCTCCTTCGGGGATGCTCTGGGGCCTGGGGGAAGAGCAATATTCAGAGCTGGGGGAGAGACCCAGCTCCAAATATTGGTGGAGCAGAGCCCCCGGCTCTAAATATTGCTGGAGCCTGGGCACCACGAGCCCATATAACTGGCTGCCCATGATCCAGAGCTGCATCATGGGGCTCCCTCTTGGCCCAGCTTGTCCCTTGCTAGGGTGTCTTGCTGGCCCATCCTGGATCTGGTGAGCCTGAGGGCTAGGCACAGGGTGGCTGAGCCATGCAGTGGAGGCTGCAGGTGCCCTATGTATCCTGACCCTACTCTCACAAACAGGACTGTAGCTCTGTACAATCATTTATTTGTTTGTCTGTTTAGGAAGCAAAATCTTCAGAGATGAGAAAAGCCATTAAATTACTGAGCCCAGGGAGCCATCTGCTGGCTCGGTTGCTGTGCTGCTTTCTCTGAGACCCTCTCTCTAGCCCACGGGTCAGCAACCCATGGCTCTTCAGCCAAATATGGGTCGGTAAGAACCAAATATGGCTCTTTGGTCATTCCCAAAATATATGCAATTTTTAAAATTAAAATGAAAAATTCAAAATTTTAAAAAAGCATCCTTGTTTATGTAGCTTGGATGCCTGCATGAACCTAAATTTGACCAGTTATGATGTAAACTTCAAAGAAATGTGCAAAAAGATGCAGCAGCACAAGTCCCATTAAATAAAGTCTGTGAGTACAGTGTTTCATTTATATTATTATTAATCATCATGTCAATTATCAATAATATTAAGGTCGTGCAAATGAACATTCTTATACAGCTCTTTGTTTACCACTTGTTCTGAATTTTGATGTAGTTTGGCTTTTTGGTTTGATAAGGTTGCAGATCCCTGCTCTAGCCACATATGCACCCCTCATCCAACCTCTTCTTCTACCTGTCCTTCCATCCATGCCCCCATGGGCCCTTCTTTCCCTTTTCAAAGCCTTGTGTGCTTCTCTTAAAGACAAAACCAGCAAGAACCGAGACATTGATCAGTTCCTAACTATCAAGAGCAGAGGGACCAGAGAGCAAATGTGGAAACAAGGGACAGGTTTTTTTTGTTTGTTCTGGGGGAAGAGTTGAAGACATCCTCTAAGCTCACAGGCTACGTCTAGACTGGCATGATTTTCCGCAAATGCTTTTAACGGAAAAGATTTCTGTTAAAACCATTTGCAGAAAAGAGCATCTAGATTGGCATGGATGCTTTTCCGCAAAAGCACTTTTTGCAGAAAAGCGTCCGTGCCAATCTAGACATGCTTTTGTGCAAAAAAGCCCCGATCGCCATTTTTGCCATTGGGGCTTTTTTGCGCAAAACAAATCTGAGCTGTCTACACTGGCCCTCTTGCGCAAAAGGACTTTTGCCCGAACGGGAGCAGCATAGTATTTCTGCAAGAAGCACTGACAATCTTACTGAGATTGTCAGTGTTCTTGTGGAAATTCAAGTGGACAGTGTAGACAGCTGGCAAGTTAAAAACTTGCCAGTCTAGACGCAGCCAAACAATGTCTTAACATCGGAACCCCTAACGGGGGCAGGACATGGCAATAATGTGGAGAGTCACAGCTGCATTCATAGGATTTGAAGAGAGCTCAGGTTGAGTCCAATCCCCAGCTAAAAGCAGGACCAGTCCCAATTAAATCATCCCAGCCAGGGCTTTGTCAAGCCGGGACTTAACCTCTGGGAATGAAGATTCCACTGGTGAAATATTTTTCCAAATATCCAATCTAGCCCTCTTCTTTCCTACTTCTATTTGAGACCTTTGCTACTCATTCTAGCATCAGCCACCACTGAGAACAGCCTCTCTCCTTCCTCTTTGGAACCCCTCTTCAGGTAGCTGAAGGCTATCAAATCCCTGCTCACTCTTTTCTTCTGTAGACTAATTAAACTCAAATCCCTCAGGCTCCCCTCATAACTCATGTGCTCCAGCCCTCTAATTATTTTTGTTGCCCTCCACTGGTCTCCTCCAATGCATCCACATGTTTTCTGTAAATGGGGCCCCCAGAACTGGACACCATACTGCAGCTGTGGTCTCACCAGTGCCACATAAAGTAGGGATATTAGATCACAATTAATTGAATAATTGTGTAACTGCATCACATTTTAGCAGTTATACAATTATTCAATAGTCCCCAGGGGCAGGCAGACTGCCAGCGTGCTCCTGGCCCCCACTCCCAGGGATCCCTCCACCACCCCTCGCTGCTGCCTCTGAGACAACAGCATGGGGCAGCAGGTAGGAGCTGGTCTGCAAGGGGAGGGGGTTTAAAAAAACCCTGGCTCCCACCTACTGCTCCTGCTGCTGCCTCTGATACACCAGCCCATCCATACAGCAACACATTTCAAACCATGCCTTACTCCTCATGGAATGAGGTTACAGGGATGTCGGAACAGTGAGCCGGTTCTGTTCTGAATTCATGGGCTTGCAGTGAAGCCGGGGCAGTCCAGGACCCCAAACAGCACTGCAGTGTAGATGCAGCCAGGGAGCCCAGCGAGCCCAGTCTGCCTCTGATACACCAGCCCATCCATACAGCAACACATTTCAAACCATGCCTTACTCCTCATGGAATGAGGTTACAGGGATGTCGGAACAGTGAGCCGGTTCTGTTCTGAATTCATGGGCTTGCAGTGAAGCCGGGGCAGTCCAGGACCCCAAACAGCACTGCAGTGTAGATGCAGCCAGGGAGCCCAGCGAGCCCAGTGGACTTAACCTTATTGGGGGCGGAGTGGG